CCCACATACACACAAAATTCTAGATTATTCTACAATTTAATGTATGATCAAAATTTGTTTAATTAAGCATCACTTAGTCTTAATAATTCTTGATTAACACATAATTAAATCAATCATGACTAATCACAAATCCCACTTAATTTAATTAGTCTAATTTGACTTCCTTTAGAGCCCAATTAATTATATTTAAATTTATTAATGTGAATCAGAGTTTTTTTTTAATCAAACTCCCAAAAGGCTCCAAATATTAAATTGAACTTATTGTCATCATCAATTTTGATTTCTCAAACCATTTAGGCCTTCAATTTCTAATCAGACTCCAAATTTCCGTCAATAAATTACATATTCAAATTGGATAACCCATAAATAAATTTAATTCGTAATAATCACAATTCTCAATTCTCATAATTTAATTAACTTAATTAACTCCAATTCGGATCTAATCAATCGAATTTCAATTTTACTAAACTGAATCAAATATTTAATTAAACTCCCAAATGGGTTCCAAATGCAACAAAATAAGCAACAAAATGTTTCCTTATCATTTTGAAATACCCTACAACTCTTAATTCTTGGTTTTAATACTTAAATCTATTACACAAACACATATATATTCCCAAATGGACAACTTATCACTTACTTATTAGATGCAAGAAACTTAATTCCGTTCTAGACATTCTAGTGCTCAGTGGACTCGTGTGTGAGATATTAATTCGTGCTCTGATACCAAAATTTTTCATGACCCAATCTCGGCAAGCCAACCCCTGCCAAGAGGGCACACTTCAATGCTATAACACCTGTACACAATAATCACCTGTATAATTCTTATATCACATCACCAATAGTGCATAAGACCCTTCGATTGGCCAACATATATGAGATGATCCATTCAAAGACAAAAATTATAGCGATCCCGGGTTTACCCTTGTTATACCGTGATCCGGACATCTGTCCGTGGATGTTGGTAGTTGTTTATTATTTTGTTTACATCCTTTTACTTCGTATTTGAGTTATAGGATGTGTTGGGCGGATTTGTTTCAGGTTGGTTGAGTTTAGAAACCAAAACTAGTTGCCCAGATTTTTGGCCTGTACGCTCGAGCGGGGGTGTTGGCGCTCGAGCGGAGATTACACCCATTCAGTATTTTCCTGTGCAGCGTTGTACGCTCGAGCGTGGTATTGGCCGCTCGAGCGGGGTTGTCTGAGTGCCGCTCGAGCGTAGGGTTGGGAGCTCGAGCGGAGGTGTAGGAACCCACATTTTATGTTCTCATCATGTTCATGAGCATCTGTGTGATTATGACTTGTTTAGCTTGCATGTGTATGTTGTGATTTGTTTCGCTTGAGTTAATGTGATCCATGCCTTGTTTTGAAGTCTTGTGATTGTCTAAGTGTAGTATGCTTGCCTTGTTCCTTCCTTGATGTGAAACTTAGGTCACGCCTTGCCCGAGCTATACTAGCCGATGTTATTCCAAGCCGAGGCCATCCTTAATCCTGTAGTAGTATCTTGGAACCCCTTGTTGACCTCCGTCCCTGCCTTGACCACATTAGCCGAGATGTTACCTTGCACCCAAGTGATCTCGTCCTGGAGTGGTATGACCTAGGCCGAGGTGTGGTGCATCTAGGCCAAGATGTGGCACAGCTTAGTCAAGCGTTGTCCTTCCTAGCCGAGGTCATTGTCACCCCTAGTTGCCGAAGTCTTGTGGTTAGCCGATGTCACCACTTGCCGGAGTGCCATCCCGAGTAGCTTGTTAGATACGCCTTGTCAGAACCTTGTCTTGTCAATCCATCACCTTTTTGAAGAGAACCAACCAACCGTTGCCACGTGTCCGAGCTGAGAGTTAAGTCAGCCGGCAGAGAGAGAAACCCATCATTTGTTGTTTATTGTTTTGAAGAGTAGAGAGAGAAGCTCTAGAAGAGGGAGAAGAGTTCTTGAGAGAGAGTGGATCTTCAAGCTTGATTCCTAGAGATCCAACCGTTAGATCCGCGTTCTAAGGTTAGATTCTTGATCTACTCGTGACGTTCTTTATGTATATGTTATTGCATTGCATGATTGAAAATGATTTGTAAGCCATGCATCGTTTTGAAGTCGATTTTAGAAAGAGAAAATGACATTCATGTGTTCTTCAAGAAAGTCTTGTTTGATCCGAAAGCTTGCATAAAGAATCATGATTTTGTGAAACCACAAAAGTCAAAAATCAACATTTTCATAAACTCAACAACTTAGGTAAAACCACTTCAATCATTAATAAAATTCCTCCAAAATCGTTTATAGAACATAGAGATACCAAATCCACCAGTTATCAAATCAATTTCAACATATAAATTTCCTAACACTAAAATCTCCAATTTTTACATCACATTCAAACCTAGATTAATCCAAATCTCAATCTCCAAAACAAGCATCAAATTGATCATTAAACCAATAATTTCATGAACTCATGATTTTTATAACTTTTTCTTCAAAATCATTTACATACTCAATTGCATTGATCCAATCTTCAAACATTTATTGTTGCATGTAATCTATAGAACTCAATTTAAGAATAATTCTCAAAATTGAACCCAAATTTAACAAATTTAAGGAATCAAAACTCATATTCTTCAACCTAACTTGATTTTTGATGCAAAACCCAATTTCTATCAATTTATATTATTAATCTTCAAATCTTAATTTTTAATCCTCTCAAAATCCATCTTGAATCAATTTATGTCTAGATTATTTAAACTATACTAGAAAGAGGATGAAATTTCATACCTTGACATGATTTTTCCACAATTTTTAGCTTGAATTTTGGTATCCCACAAAACCCTCTTCTCCTTTGTTCTTCCTTCAATTCTCAAGCCTTGAGTTCCTTCTTTTCTCTCTTTCTCTCTCTCTCTCAGCCTTTCTCTATTTACAGCTCAATTTCTCTCTTCTTGAATGTTAAAGAATGAATTCAATGGGCTCTATCTAATACAACGTATATACAATGAATAGACACACACACACAGCCTTCTTTTCACACCCAGATTTTCTCAACACATACACACCCACATACACACCAAATTCTAGATTATTCTACAATTTAATGTATGATCAAAATTTATTTAATTAAGCATCACTTAGTCTTAATAAATCTTGATTAACACATAATTAAATCAATCATGACTAATCACAAATCCCACTTAATTTAATTAGTCTAATTTGACTTCCTTTAGAGCCAAATTAATTATATTTAAATTTATTAAACTGAATCAGATTTTTTTTTAATCAAAATCCCAAAAGGCTCCAAACATTAAATTGAACCTATTGTCATCATCAATTTTGATTTCTCAAACCATTTAGGCCTTCAATTTCTAATCAGACTCCAAATTTTCGTCAATAAATTACATATTCAAATTGGACAGTCCATAAATAAATTTAATTCGTAATAATCACAATTCTCAATCCTCATAATTTAATTAACTTAATTAACTCCAATTCGGACCTAATTAATCGAATTTCAATTTTACTAAACTGAATCGAATATTTAATTAAACTCCTAAATGGGTCCGCAATTAAAAATTAAATTGATTCAACTTCTTAATTTCACGTCCTTAAGCCATTTGGACTCTTAATTTCTAATTGCAAAATAAATCTTTAATAGAATCATATACGAATCAGATTCCACAATTCTCATAAATTCCAAATTAAATTAGGATAACGACTACATAAAATCCCAAATCTCTTTAATTAACCAAATATAAAATATTATACGTGGCGGGTCGTCACATGTTTAGTTTCTCTTCTCTTTGTTTTTGAATTAAATGTTGATTGGGGCTGTCATTAACTAATACAAAGAATTCTTCAAAGGAGCATAAGAACAAATATAGAATGCACAATATGGTGGAATATGAAGAAATAGAGAAATTATTCCATCCGATTTTGGTCATTGACGAAATCACAACAGTTTCGTTTCAATCACAAAATCGTTGTCATTATGCTTACCAAATCAGATTGCCAACAATCTACCTTGGCAGAAAGTCAAAAGTCCATAAATAAAAACAAATAAAGTAAAACATGTTTAATTTGGTTAGAATTGTAATCAATTCTATTTACTATGAAGAAAAGAAGACAAATTGTAGCTTTGGTTTCACTAATAATTTCTTGATTGAATCATCTATTTCTTGAATGTTCCTTATGTAATTGGACTTTTTGATGTTCGAATGCCATGTTTTCGTTTTAGGTTTTCATTTTTTTTTATCATATATATGTCTATATCTGTCGATGATGTTTGAATGAAGGATTTGGAGAGGGATTTATGGAGGATTCATTCTTTTTATTTTCTGTCTTAAGTGTGTTATTATTCCTTGTAATCAAATCTTATATCGCCCTTATTGACGTGAAAAAATTATTAGTATTTGTTGGTTGGATGCATTTATTTGTCATTCTTTTTTTTAATAACCAAGAAAATTTGGGGCTATTCTGGCATCTATACTATTGCCAATCTTTGGAGCTTTGTACTGCCTCTTGTTTGCCTACATGCATATGTTTCCTTCCTCTTATTTGGTCAATAAATGACAATTTAAATTTAAAAACTTGCAGGAACTAGAAAGAACAAATCTTTAAATAATCCAGTGTCACAATCTATTTATGGTGTGAACTAATGGACCTTCTTATTTCACTCTATTCTTCATTGCTTTATTTGTTATGACCCTAATATATTTAAGAAGCTATTTTTTCTTTTTCATTCTTTGGCAGGGTATTAGAGATTGGGATAATCTACTGTTGGTGGATTAACAGAGTTTCTCTATGCAAATTTCAAATTCAAATAATTTATTTAAATTGATCTACAACTTGACAACTATGCATTCTAAATTCTATTTCAACGGTCAAATAAATGCTTTAAATTTACACTTTGCCAAGCTCTTGTATTTGCCACATATTTGTCAATTCTGATTTATTATTATTTCTAATGCTTCATAATCCATTACAGCACCCTTTGTGGATCTCACTTTCTACATATTTCGTATGTCTACTTCAGGAAAAGCACAAAAATGAAGACATTCAAGGATCACTTTTTGAAGAACCTTCTCATGGAGCTCTATTCTGCACTTGGGAAACATTTAAGAGGAGATTGAAGGATAACATAGATTCAAAGTGACACGTATTAACCATTTTAATGTTCTTTTATATATTTGTTAATCATTTTAGTATCTCAAAATTCTCTTCTTAACATGTTCATCCCACAAATGGTTAGACTAGCAAGCCGGTCTTGCTCATAGAACAATGTCATATGGTATTTCGCTTCTATTTATCATTGTAAACTGAACTTGAAAAATTATGCCTTCTTGTATTCCATGTAACCAAGTTTCTTGGCGTCTATTTTTATGTCCAACAATGTTTTTATTTTTATTATTTTATTTTTTAAAGCTAAACAATGCATCATTTATTGCAGAAACTTTCACCACCAGCTCAAGATTGGAGATCACCTTAGCGAGGTAATCAGATCGATTCCATCTTAGAAAAGTACAAAGATTGTTAGTTATCATAATTTTTAAAATTTCCGTTAGTCTTTTACTTTTGTATTTTTGGTTTTGAAAATATTTGGGTAGATTACTAGTGTGTATATTTTTTGATAGATGCGCATGGATAACAATTTAAAACATAATAACAAGTAATTGTTATGTTAGATGGATGTGACTTGGATGATTATATAGATTACAAGTGGATTTTTAATTGGAGGAATATGTAGTTTGAAATTACTTGTGGATGAAAACTTATAATAGTTGCTGACTTTAATTAAACAGGTTTAGAGTTTGATGATTTATATAGTTTGTTGAATGTTTTATGATTTAGGTGAATTGTTGGTTTGATTGATTATTGTAAATTACAGATTGTATTGAATAGATTGGATATATTATTATGAATTACAGGTTTATTTTATTGCATGTTGGCGCAAACATTTCTTTTGGTGACCAAAACTTTTTGGTCCTAGAATGTCACAATTGGCGACCAAAATTTTTGGTCGTGGAATACCACAATTGGCGACCAAACTTTTTAGTCGTGGAATGTGATAATTGGCGACCAAACTTTTTGGTTGTGGAATGTGATAATTGGCGACCAAATTTTTTGGTCGTGGAATGTGTCAATTGGCGACTAACATGTTTGATCGGGAATATGTCACTTTTCGCAACTAAAGTGTTTTAGCAACTAAATGGATTAGTCGCAGTAATGATATATTTAGCGATCAAAATTTAGTCGGCAAATTTAACTTTTTCCCGACTAACAAAAGTTTTAGTCGCTAATTACTTTTGCCGATCCTCAATTGGCGACCAAGGTGGCAACCAAAAAAATTGGTCGCGAATAGCTTTTGCCGACTAAAAATTAACTTTTGCCGACCAAATTTTTAGTCGCCAAAAATGCGATTTTCTTGTAGTGAATATTGCCGACCAATCGTTTTGGTCGTGGAATGTATTGCCCACCAATTTTTTTGGTCGCGGAATGTGACAATTGGCGACCAAATTAGTTGGCCGTGGAAATGGGCGACAATTGCCGACCAAACTATTTGGTTGTTGAATGTGCGAATTGGCGACTAACATGTTTGGTCGGGAAAATATGACTTTTCGCGACTAAAGTGTTTTAGCTACTAAATGGATTAGTCGCAATAATTATATATTTAGCGACCAAAAATTTAGTCGGCAAATATAGCTTTTTCGCGACTAAAATATTTTTTAGCCGCTAATTACTTTCCGCGACCCTCAATTGGCGACCAAAGTGGCGACCAAAAAAATTAGTCGCGGATAACTTTTGCCGACTAAAAATGGACTTTTGCCGACCAAATTTTTAGTCGGCAAAAGTGCGAATTCTTGTAGTGACCCTTTGTGGATCTCACTTTCTACAAAAATGAGACATTCAAGGATCACTTTTTGAAGAACCTTCTCATGGAGCTCTATTCTGCACTTGGGAAACATTTAAGAGGAGATTGAAGGATAACATAGATTCAAAGTGACACGTATTAACCATTTTAATGTTCTTTTATATATTTGTTAATCATTTTAGTATCTCAAAATTCTCTTCTTAACATGTTCATCCCACAAATGGTTAGACTAGCAAGCCGGTCTTGCTCATAGAACAATGTCATATGGTATTTCGCTTCTATTTATCATTGTAAACTGAACTTGAAAAATTATGCCTTCTTGTATTCCATGTAACCAAGTTTCTTGGCGTCTATTTTTATGTCCAACAATGTTTTTATTTTTATTATTTTTATTTTTTAGAGCAAAACAACACATCATTCATTGTAGAAACTTACACCACCGGCTTAAGATTGGGGATCACCTTAGCGAGGTAATCAGATCGATTCCATCTTAGAAAAGTACAAAGATTGTTAGTTATCATAATTTTTAAAATTTCCGTTAGTCTTTTACTTTTGTATTTTTGGTTTTGGGTATTATTAGTTTCTTCCGCTAGTTTAGTCCATCCATTTATTCCACCTTCCTATTGGTTATGAGGCCCACTTCAAAAAGGTTATTGTTAGTTGCTTAAATGAATCTTATTTGTTCTCATAACTGAATCTCAATGATATTATCTTAGAAGATATGATGATCTAGAGGATAACTGAACTTATACATTAAAAATTTGTTGTCTGACACATTGTTTTCTATGGGTCTAAACCTATACATTAGAACGCTTCTCTACTTTGACAGGGCTGCTCAATTTTTCTTTGTAACTATTTGTGATGTGATTTTGCTAATTTCAGTTTTGAAATGGGCTTACTTCTACAAATGTTGGTGATGCTTGTTATGTTATTTTATCATTCTCTTATGATGGGAATTGTTTTCATCCACTTGCGTTTTTTGAACTTCCACGCAACAATTTGGCTTAGAAATTTTGTTTATTTTTTCTTATTTAGCTAATATAGTTCTCATGTGAAGAATGGAAATGATATAAATTGAAAAATCAATGTACACTTTATTTTTCTTTTGATGGGCTTTGCTCATTTTTTTTATTTGAATTCATTAAATATTGAGCTTAAAGTCCTTGTTATGACCATTTCCACGTGTGGATTTCGAGATCAAGTTGCTAACAGTTGGTGGAAAAAGATTGAAACTTACGATTTGGGACACAGGTAATTAACATAGATGACTTGTTATTTGGAACTATTTTGTTTATTCAGTGTGGAAAATTTCTTGGATCCCAATAGCTAAAACAGTTGCTAAAATAGCTACTTTCCAATACCAAAACCCTACGCCTACCTTTATGAAAAGTTGAGATAAAAAATAATTGCTGAAGTGTTTGTGCAAATTCGAGTGGTTTCGGAGTCTTAAATTAGATATTGACATGTATCTATCCTTCAAAACAAAAACACAAACAAAAACAACAACTTAGAAAAGCCTTTTTTACGGACAAGCTTTACTGAACTTATTTTATTCAAACATATATTATTCACTATTCAGATATGAGGCTATTAAATTTTTTGGTTTGCATCTGGACAGAAGAGATTTGGAACATTGATAAGCTCTTACTATAGAGGTGCACATGGAATTATTCTCGATAAGCTATTTACAAATGTAGAAAATTTGCATTCTAATGCCATTTATGTGGTAGTTATACTTTGATAGTATATTTTTTTTTACAGTATTTCACATGGAATAGTTCTCTGATTTTTTTTTTTTGGGTAACACATGAATTGTTTTGAAAATGTCTGCTTCGTCACATGCTTTTTCTTACCATTTCGATCAATTTAAATAGTTTTAATTGTTGATGCTTTGTTGTCATCTTTCCTCTACCTAATGTTTAAGCAATCATTTTTTGTATTTACTTTTTATTTTAGTTTATAATGTAACAGTGATGCGACCCTACGTGCGAAATGCGTGGAGCCAACTAGTTTCTAAAAATACATCAAAGCTCTTTCTCGCTTCTTCCTTACAATTATTAATTATTTTTAGGCTTCTGTCCTTACATCTTCTCACATTAGGAGTTTTGGGTGGTGCATGCCGGTGCACACGCTGCGAGACCGTTAACATCTCATTTGATTTGGAGGTCTTAATTATTTGTTTGAATTACAAAACATGAGAGAAATGAAAAGAAATTGAGAGAAATCACTCACTTTTTGAATCTTTCTAAAATTGGAGAGAAAAGAAATGGAATGATTATTAATTTTGAATATTATCAAAATTTCCCATCTATCTATAAAAGAAATAAATAAACGGTTATTTTGGTAATATAACATGTACGAGTTTTTCTTTTCTTTTTTTTTATGTAGTCTATCCAAATAAGATTAGAGAGAAATTACTATATTTTCTTTTCTTTTCTCTCCTAAATATTAAGAGCAATACTACATAACTTAAAAACATACACGTTCAAATATCCTTACTTTTTTAATAAGCAATTATATTTATCGTATTGTATTTTTGGTAAGATTATTTGTATATATAGAATTATTCAAATATTAAGCTTAAGACACTTAAAATTGATGGATGTATGACCATTTTCTAAAAATCAAAAGCCTAGTTTTTATTTGGAGTTGCATGTTATGCTTTATGGCGCCCATCGTACAAGTTTGTACAAATATGAAACTACTGATAAGAGTTACAAAATTTGTTCTTAAAAATCAATATAAACCAGTAGAAGTTTATATACTGAAAGATAGTTCAAGCCTTGACTTTGTGCCCTACGTGTATGATAAATCTATTTTGAAAGATTTTATACAATATAAACTATTGGATTGATTTTTTACCATTTGAAAATTATGTTGAGATTCAACAAATTTTTATAATTACAGGGAGGGAGAGAGGGTGATTATTTGCTATTGTCTGATTCTAAATCTAGAAACTAGAATAAAATTACATATATTATGAAAATATTTAAATTTTTATAAAGAGTTAATTTCACTTTATACTCTTAAACTATTGTCAAATTATCTACTTAGTCATTAAATTATTGATTGAGTCGACTAAATCTCTAAAATTTATAGTCTGTAAACTATCAATTGAGTTTATTAAAATTTTAAAATATTTAATTTAAACTTATTTAGTCTCTTAAATGATTTAAAAAAATAAAATATAAACCTATAAATATTATAAATTAGTAAATGACCCTACCTAGTGAAGATTTTATTACAAAAAAAAATAGGAGATCAATTTTAATCGTCAGGTGAATTCGTCACCAAAAAAAAAATTCATCTCAAAAAGTAAAAAAAAAGAACCTTTAGCAACTAAAATTTGAAAATATCGCCAACAAATGCAACAAAACAATTTCATGGTAGAAGGTTTACTTTATAGATAAAATTTTGATCCCAAAATGATAGTAATTTATTAATAAATATTCAATTTCGTCACTAAAAATATAATAGCAACACTTTTGATCATTAAGATGTTTAATCCTAAAAATTGATTTCGTCCCAATTTCCTCCCCCTCTAAATTCTTAATTTGTTGTAGTGTATGTAGTTTGTGCCTTGGAGCTTATAATAAATTCTACTATGACAATTTGGGTCCTTATTGACCTGTGTAGATCATTTACTCAAAA